TTTTTTGTTTTAAATTTTATTGAATATTTATTTATTATTTTTAGATAACAAAAATCTCGGAGAATATCCGTTTTTGTCCTCGTTTAAGAACATTACGTCTGGATAGAAATAATCTCGCTTTGGATATAATTCCAACTAGTTTACTAACTGATTCAAATTTATCATTACTTTCATATGATGGAAATCGATTTGATGAAAAAGCTTTTCAAGGAACAGTAGGATATGACCAAGTAATAATATTATTAACAAAAACAGAAATTTTCTAAATTAATTTTATTCCTTTTTTGTAGTATATGCAACGTTTTACGGCTAGTCGACGAAAGCTTGAATAGACATTTTTTTTGAAAGTCTTTTTATTTTTCTTGTATACATAATTTTTATCGTCGTTTAAATTAATATAAGATCAAATATATTGTCATATTTAGTCATTCATATTTAATGTGCTTATGTGTGTTCTGTGTTCATTTATGTGCCTATAAAAACGTTCAAGAAAAGAATATAATGCACAATTGAGTATTTTCGTTCACATTAACCTGCTCGCTAGATACATATGGAAAATAGTTTGTCAATATGCTACTCATATTAGTTTAGTAATAATTCAGTATGCGATTTTTTATAGGATGACACATTATTTACAGATTGCACCAAGTAAGAAAAAACGCACTCAACATTTAAGAAAACACAAGTTTATTAGGTTTGTTTTTTTGGCTCAGTAATTGGTCCTCTTAAGAAGGCATTAGCATATCATTTTTAATGATTTTCTATATCATCAATTTCGTATCGGTTTTTATTAAATTTAACTAAATACAACGTACATCAGTTTTGGTTTGACGGGTGTGAGTCTTCTATTCATCCTCACACTTAACAGCGCATCAAATATGAGAAGAGTAGATAGCACCGAATCAACTCCACTACTGAGCTAAAGAAAGAGTGAAAAACTTAGTTAGAAAAGTTGTCACATGATAAACCAATTACCTACTGAAAAATATTTCTAAGCAAATCACGATTATTGTTGATTAGCGAACTCTGATGACTAACTACAGTGGCACGAGGTTCATGTCAGTTGCAATTAAAACATACAGCTGAGCTCTGATAAATAGAATACGAGAACCATTTGATTCGATCCTTAGAGTAAATCAAACATGTTTCAGAAAATCAAGGATTTGCATCAACCAGATACATGTCATTCGTAGGCTTCGTGAAAATGCAACGAACAAGTAACTATCAATCTTTGTCATGTGCGTCGATTTCAAGAGAGCCTATGATTCAATAGACAGGAAAATAATGTTTGACATTTGTCAGACTCTATGGAGTACCTGTCAAAATGTTGAAAGCAATCGAAGTGATTTATCATTAGTTTCAAAGCACAATTCCCGTGAACGGTAACGTCTCCGAATAACTCAATGTAACGACTGATGTGGTAAAAGGAGACAGTTTTTCTCTTCATAATTGTGATTGATTAAATCATGAAAAACGGCCAATCAGATTATACAAAAGATAAAGGCGAACATGGTTTTATAAGCAACAAGCGACAATGTAGTCGCGGCACTCAGCAACAACCAGTCAAATGTACGAATGGATTAGGTTTTCAAGTCAACAAGAAGAAAACGCATACAATTATCAACAAAAACATGAAGAAAACAGATCAATAAAATTGAAGCAACAGGGTGTCGCATGATTCGACAGCTTTAAGTACCTCGATTCAATGGTGTTGTTCAGCGATTTCAATATCAAAGCACGGAAAACAAAGAACGTCTGAGATTCAAAAACAAATCCAATTCAGCTTACAATTAACATTTTTCAAGGCTCATGTCTCTCAATGTTAATATACGGTTGCAAAGATTAGATCATCATAAAGAAGCTCGAAAACACTCTGAACCGTTTCACCAGTAACTTATTATAGAATCATGCTTAACATGAAGCGTCTGAACAGGATATCAAACAACATCATCTACGAAAAAGTCAAGTAAGAACCCTTGACGCGAATATTGAAATGTCATCAATTACGTTTCATTGGTGGTTGTCTTTGCAGATATCGAGACGAATCTACGAACTTGTATGCTTTTTATACACCAAAATACAGTAATTGCAAATGCATCTGTGGTCATCCATATCTAAAGTATTCTGACTACATCACATCATAGGGTTCGTTGAGAATGAGATAAGAAGTGTTGCTACAGAGAGGAATAATTGGCACAAGATTGTTGTCGTCTGCAAACCTACTAGTTCGCTCTCAATCAACTGGTGATGGCCTATATAAAAATAACGAGTATGGTTCGATTATTTTGTGTAATTAGATTATTGTCCAATATTCTATAAATAACATGTGGTTTATCAATAAATTAGAATTTGATTAGTGAGTCCGAACAGATGATTAAATTATGAAAACAAGTGTGTTGTTTTAGCCTTGATTCCAATAATGTGAAATTAATTTTTTGAGTACAAATAACATAAATATAAACTAGTTATTATTAAAAAACCGTGTTGTTATCTACAATATCATAATCATTCAATAATTAAATATAAGTACATTGTATTCAAAACAGAATGTGAATGTAGATGCGTTTATTTTACTAGGAAAAAAACATTTGAAAACTGAAAAACCAAAATCGAGATTGTTTGAAAAAGAAATCATTGCGACTATCAGTCAGTAAGAAATTCTCTTCTGAACGGTAATCGTTACCGATAATAATTTTGCTATGCACAATGAGTAATCGAAATGAATATTTTGATAATGAATGATCGATTGCTTTCTAAAAAATAAGTTAATACCATTAACGAGGGAACCACCCGAGGTGACACCTTCTGTTTTGACTCATTTATATTTCATTCGATAGAGTATATTGAGATAGTCAAAGGACTGAGAGGATTTTTCCTCATGCCTCTTTCTTCAAAAGTTATGGTCGTTTTATTGAATTTTCGACCCATTCCTGGATATTTACGAAAAAAATTAAAATAGGGAATTTCGGCTTAATATTTCGCCCATAGATAGGCCTAATGGTTCTTAGAATATCCTGAAAGTTTCAGCTAAAAAGAATATTCCTTTCTTGAGATATTGAATTTTCAAAAAATAGTCGCCTGCCGCAGATTCGTCACAAAAACCGAGTTCGTTTGAAAATTCAATATCTTAAGAAAGGAATATTCTTTTTAGCTGAAACTTTCAGGATATTCTAAGGACCATTAGGCCTATCTATGGGCGAAATATTAAGTCGAAATTCCCTATTTTAATTTTTTTCGTAAATATTCGGGAATGGGTCGAAAATTCAATAAAACGAACATAACTTTTGAAGAAAGAGCCATGAGGAAAAATCCTCTCAGTCCTTTGACTATCTCAATATACTCTATCGAATGGAATATAAATGAGTCAAAACGGAGGGTGTCACCTCGGATGGTTCCCTCGTAAGTTATATTTTTTTTTAACTATTTTATAAATATCCTCTTAGCAATTCTTCAGATCGAAAATGAGAAAATCAGCTTGTTAATATGTGTTTCCAATCAATTAAGTGTTAGAATATATGAAGTAATTGCTATTTCCTTAAACACTTTTTTATGTATCTTTTTATGATTGATGTGTATTAAAGCCGCATAAGTGTTTCAAGATTAAATAGATGGCACGTATAAGAAAATGTCTCACAGGGGTATTAAATAGTTTAAAAAAACACTCTCGTGTCACTTGTAATGAACACTGTAAAATTAATTTTTAGTTATTGATTGAGGGACAAGAAGAGTCAACTACTGTATATATCTTGTCCTACTTTCGATACATATCGTTTAAGACTATTGTTATAACATTGACAAGATGATTTTTCGATTAGAAGATCAATGCATACATATTTTGTTTTTGTTCAATTTAGTGATGAATCTTCTGAAAATTTACAACTATTTGAGCATTTCAAATGGATAATTTGAATCAACAGAAAAAAGAGAACTTTGAACTTTTTGCTTTTATTTTATAACGTTGTCTTCTTAGAATAAAAAAAGAATTCTCGTAGGATTTCTTTTTTTTAGAAGTTTCCTTTTTTAATTAACATTTAAATTAATATATTATCACTGTTCGTCATTCATATTCACACGATCTTAGGAGTAATTTATTCATCTGTCAGCCTACATAAGTGTGCAACGGAAAACTGTAATGAAATGTTGCCTTATTATCACTACATTTACTTCTTGTCTCAATGCTTACGGAAAAAACAAGAGCATAAGGAAAGAAAAGCTGTAGAAGTGGTCGATCTAGTTCTTCATTTTTTTAATGGAACGACTCGTGTTCCATATATTTTTCTCTTTACTTCATCAATGATAGTGACAATCATGTTTGTTATTACAATGAATTGTGCGTGAGAATGTTGATGGCCGATGAGGACGATACAGCAATGTTTCGTTGCCTGTCCTTTTTTTCTTTTTTTTCTAGTGGATTTTTTTATGGAAAACAAGATGAGTTCTTTTCCTGTCACACCTACTGTCAGTGGGTTGCTACAATTGATAGAAACGAACTCCTTTTTTGTTAATCATTATCATTCATTCGTTAATATAGAATGAGAAAAAGAAAATTCTGAGAAGATAGTGATGCGTAAAGAATCGAGATAAAGAAAAATAAAAACATAATCCATTTATATATCAATGTAGGATGCTACTATAACCATTTTTTTATTTTAACAAGACATAGAGTTCTTCATTTATTTTCTCATCAAATACTTTACAAATTACTTATTAAATGAAAATTTTGTTTTTTGTTGTATCTTAAATGTTCTGACAAAGGATAATAAAAAGAAAAAGGAAAAAGAAAAGACTTTTATCCTTCGCTAACATCTCTTCGGAATGTTCTTATTGATTCATAATTACTGAGCGAAAAAAAGTTTTTCCTTTTTTTTTTCTCTCTCGTTATTTTTCTTGTCTTTTTCCGAGCGATGAAAGGACAGCATGGTTGACATCAAAATAACAACAATGTTAAACATCACTACTATTATTCACAATTATATTCTCACATTCGGATTGAACTGAACATGACTTATTTATTCTGTTCGCTTTTCTTTTCTTCATCAGCATCTTATCGTCGTTTCATAACCCTCATATGTATTTTACTTTTAAATCCATTACCTTTTATTAATGGTGCACCAACGGAAAAAGGCAATACTTATTTAAAATTACTACGTCAAAAACGCCAAATCAATTTTAATAATAATGTCATGTCAATGAATAAAAATTTTTTCCTACCTAAACAAGAAATAATATTTCAAGGATTATTAGGTTTGATATATTTTTAATATCAAAGAATAAAAAATAATAATCTATCTTATATAAATAGGTTGCAAATTCGATTCAAATGTATGCAATCAAGATGAAGCTTGTTTTGACGGTAAGATTTTCATTGAATTCTATCAAAAATTTCGAAAACAGGGCAAAATTCGACACAACATGAAGCTTCTAGATAGTCTTCATCTATGCACTAAATTTAGTGCTAATATGTTCAGTTCTTTTTTCCATTTGTTTTTTGAATAGATTATCGATTTATTTATTTTTTCTTTTGTTTTGAATATTTAAAAACTTCAATATATAAACTTATCAGTTAAGTATTAATAAACTGGCTTTATTCAAATATCGAAAAATGTCAATTGATTTCTCATTATCTTCGATGTTTTGCAAATGTATATGTTCTCTTGCTTTAAAAATGATAGTTTTACGTCTAATCTAGATTGGTTCATAAGTTTTTCTTTTAACGTTAAACGATTAGAGATTTTATCCAAAGGTTTTGTTCAAGATACATATTTGTCCTTTTGTTATGATATTTATAGGTATCGTATATAATAATGTTTGGCTATCGAATCAAATATCTTCATCTAAAATTTTATGAACGTATAGCTATTTTTGATGTCGAACATTAATAGCTTGTTGTTGACAAATAAAATCATGCTGCTTTTTTTTCCGTAAAACTGTGACTTTTTGAAAGTATTCTTCATATAATCAAGATAGAATTCATAAGTTTGACAATGGCTTTCTTTTTTCTGTTATTCAAAACTTTAGTAACGAGACTTATTATCATGCCGACAAAAAATTATTAGATTTATTTGCTGTTCTACAAGTCTACATAACAATCTTACTTATTTAAGTAAAATATCATGTAGATATTGATTTGTAATAATCAATACATTTGAAGAAAGCTTACTTTTAAATAAACAACTTATAAAAAACAGGTAATTGATTCTAACACACACGCTTCTTACAGTTTAACTGCTGTTATATCGTTCAGTATATTAAAAAAAACGACAAAGCTTACTTTTAATTATTTGGATGACTCTTTTTTTTTCTTTGTAAAAAATAAGATTGACTGTTGTTTTTTTAATCTAGATGAACTTTTTGGACAATGTTGGGATGGTAAAGGATCACTACGAAAAGCATTTGATTTAAAAAATACTATCGATAGAATTACAAATGATCAATTAACTGCATTAGAATATACAATAAAATTTTTAAATCGTTATCACCTTAATTGGAATGACTATCTGACTCAATGTATTCTATCGAGTATATTAACTGATTATCATAAACTAAATCAATATCAATTAGGATTATTTTATATTGATTGTTTAAATAAAGATGAATTATTAAATGAGTTTGTAACAATGGAAAAAGAAAATAATATTGATCGTCGCTATGTTAAACACAACAGTAATAAAAGAATATTTTTTATTTATTTGTATATTTTGATATTTTTTTTTTTTCTTTGCAGAGTTTTATTATGACGATCCATATGCATCATTAATAAAATCTAACAATGTATATTCTGATTTTGATAATGCATTGCGTATTCCATTATTTATGGAATCTAATGAAGCATCTCGTGTAAAAACAATACCTGAAAAAAATTTTTATCTTAGAGACGATATTAAATTAAAACAACAACCAATAAAACTAATTGCAGAAGAATCTAAAATGCGTAATCCACTTTATTTGGAAAAAAAAATAACAAATATGTTTTTTTTTTCTTTGTTCATGATTTATTTTAAGATAAACCAACAAAAATATTAATGAATATGAAAGAAATTCATCCTGGCTTAATAGAAACATTAAAAATAAGTAGTAATAAACAATCAAAATTAATACTAAATCCAACAACCATCCGTATGAATTTTCATCTTGATTAATATTTCTATTTCTTATTATTGTAGAAGTTAATACTATAGCAAATAATAATCAGACATTCAACAGTACCGATACAGAGCGTTATTTTACCGTTGAAACAGCCCGCGGCTATGTTATTATCAATCGAGAGTATGAATATGCATATCAATATATTTTTATTTTCCATTATTTATATGTGCTTATCTAGTTTTAAAAACCAAATGGAAGGAGCTCGACTATTGGCACTTATTGCAGAAATTAATCTTTGGCCCGTAGCAATATTTACTGAACTTAAGTATGAGAAAAAAAAATGATTAGAAAATTTTTATTAATGTTTTTCTTCTAATTAAGTGTTGATCGACCTTTATTAACATTTAATGTATTGGATAATGCTTATCAAATAAATGCAAGCAATGTTGCTAGTTCAGCTTGTAAGTTATTTTGAAGAGAGAGAGAGAGAATTGAATCGAAAAGTTTACAAGTTTATACAAAAAGATTGATGAAAAGAAAATCAAAGATTAATTTCAAGATTTTCTATGAAAGTATTAAACAAAATGAATGTATCGGTTTTGTTTTTGAAGTATTGATTTTTCAAAATCTTTTGAAGCTCTAGAAAATTCAAATGAGTAAAAGACATATTAATGATCAGAAATCATTTTTCAATTAAAGCTCATCTGTCATATCATATAGTTCTTACAATTTAAAGAATTTTCTAAGTATATTTCTAGGTCTTCTGTATGAAAAAAAAATACTGACTCGAACTGTTTATCTGCAGTTAAATCTTTCTAAGTAACGAATGATCGAAAAGTTTCTCTCCAAGATGTTTATTCACTTTTGATCCATCAGAAAGTATCAAAAGCCATGAGTTACGATGCTCTTTTCAAAAGATCTTAAAAGTTATTTCTAATAGTGAGCCAACAGGTTTTTCGCTCATCCTATAAATCCTTTTTCGAACATGCTAAAAATTGTTGGAATCAGTCATTGTGTAGAATGGATACTTCTCTACAAAAACTTGATACTGAACTATGCTGTAGCTATTATCTAAGCATTTTTCAAAAGCTCCTTTCAACATAAAACGATTGTCGATTTCTCAAAAATGAGTGTTAACAATTGAGATATCTTGCCGAAAGATTAAAAAAATAACTTCAAATAGCACATTTTGAAGAGTAGTTTTTTTATCTAAAAGCTAATATATAAATAAAGATCGTCAATTTTAGTTTCGCATCGTAATAGTGAAAATACAAAAATTTTTATTGCAAATTAATTATTTGAATTTTTCAAAGATTATTTAACTACTTGAAGAAAATTTCTAGACTTATATTCCAAAAGCGAACAAAATTCTGGTTCAAGCTCATAGCTTTTGGTACTTTCCAGCGAATCAAAAGTGAATAAACATCTAAGTCGAACGAGTATTCGATCATCTGTTCTCAAAAGTTTTTCAACAAAAAAATAATTATAGTGAGATCTTTCTCCTGAATTTTACTTACGACGAAAGTCTCACAATTGATTGATCGCTTTTGAGTCAGGACTATGTGCATCATGTAGGTTTTGCCAGAAGTAAACAGTCTAGTGTAGCGATCATAACTATCCAATATAAGGTATTACCTCGGGTAGTTTCCTCGTCAATTTTGATTGTGTCATGATACGTTATCATTAGATTTCATCGAATCTAAAAAACGAGATTCAGAATTGATCGAAGTTTATGAGTTTTAAGAGAAAATCCTACCAGATTCGTTACTCTTTACTTGTTCAAAGGCATGAAATGATTGGATCGAATTGAGCATTCAAAGTTGATCAGTGCTCTAAAAAATACTGTAAAAGCTCAGTATCTTCACAACAATAGCCTAAAGTTCCGAATTCTGTTTAGAATTTTCATGGTTCTTCAGGGATATTCTGCTTTTTGGATTTAAAGTTCTTTTAGAAATTCTTAAAATATCTATAAAATTAAAGCCTGTCTGCGTCTATTGGATCAAAGTCAGATGACAATCACGACCAAATCGATAAGATTCTATAGAAGAAACGGCTTCCTTGAAGTTTCAATTCGATTGTGTTCATTTTCATGAAACACAAGAAACGATTAAAAAAAAAAGAATGAAAAAAAAAATTTCTCCGCTTTTAACAATACTAACGATGTATCTATATATTTTATTTTGTTTATGTTAGCAACTCCGTAGAATACTCGTAATTGGTATTCTTTCTTTTTAAAGCGGATATAAAGTCAGAATTGTCTCTTCCTGTTTGTAAAATTGTGTTTCAATCAGAAATAAACTGAAACTATGTTTTTCTTTTTCTTAGACGTCTCATAAAAAAATTTTTTTTTAAGAAAAAAATTCCACACATTAAACTTAAGAAGCAAAAAAGTTTGATATCTTTAAAAAATTCTTTTTTTAATCAGTCAACTATTATCATTTCCTTTTATTGATCTATTCATTTCCTTTTTTGACATTGTTCTATCTGCGATATGATTAATTATTTGAAAAAATTATTCACTCAATTTCATCTTTTATATATATATGGCTTGTGTCTTCTTTTTCTTCGTCTTTATTTTTTGATGGACAAATAGCACATCTTTTGTCTGTTTCTTTGACAGATTGCACACTTACATCAATTCTCAAGAGATAATCGTAAACTATAATAAGACAATAACCAGAATAATCATATATTATTGTCATAATTCTAATATTGTAATGTATATATTTATATATCTTTATTTTAGTAAATAATCAGAAAACTATTGAAAATCTATTGGGTATACGTATCATCGATTCTGGTATCGGCAATCCTAATCAAGTAAGAGATAAATGTAGAGAAATAGAATATAAGATATATTGTGCTGATTATTGTGCAGTATGTTAGTAGTGGCTAGTGATTGCAATTAAAAGATGCCTTGAGGGTTAACGTTGATACTTGACTCTTTCTTTTTGTTCTTGTCGAGCGAGATGCATCATGTATGCTGTATATAGTATCAGAAAGAATACAATGACAGTATGAACCTCTCAGACATACGCAGCGGGATGATCTATAAATGATGAATGATGTTGAACAATACTATATAACATTGAACAGTAAAAAAAAGCTAGAAAGCTTTGTTATATCTTCTTCCCTATTGTTTAAAGTAGGGAAGGAACAAAAAAAGAAAAAGAGAAGAATTGCTTCTCGTTTTTTTTTTTTCTTCATGCAAAAAATATATATGAGATAGAGATGCATTTCTTTTCCTTTTATTATGCATAGAGTAGATTAATTACAAGCTGAATATGTTAAACAGTATACTTCCTGTTTCTGTCGTACCATTCCGGTAAGTTAAATAGAATTTTTTCATTGGAAAAAGGATTGTGTACATATGCAGCATAATATATAGATAGAACGAAGAATTCTAACAATATTATTGATTACATTGTTATTCGCTTCAGATACACAAATGCTTTTATTCACTGTTTCTCTCTCTCTCTCTCTCTTTCGTTTTTCTTTTGCTCCATAAAAGTTAACAAATAGATGAATGAAGAGTAGAAAATTCTATTGAATATTCTTTTTGTTTATATGCATATGTCTGTCGGTGTGACTCGTCTATAGATAGTTGAGCAAATCAAGCACGCTAACAAAGATTGAATGTCTATTAGATTCACACGCAAATGCATGCATAATTGATAATTCAATGCAACTACTATTTCATAGTCTAAGATTTTTTTTTTGTTAGTAACCAACTTATTAACAATATAGTTGAACATAAGAGAGAGAAAGCTTTTCAGTTTTTTTTTTCTTAAAAAGTTTATATAATTATGTCACACCTTTTATGTTAAGATCGTAAGTGCACAAAATAAAAAAATGTTCAATATAATAGGATTTCTCCAATGAAATAAAAGATAAAAATGTTAATATAAATAAAGAAAAAAAAAGAAAAACTTTCTTTTTTTTTCACTCTTTTAAAAGGGTACTAAATTATCGGTTGAACGACAAAATGGTTCACGTTTGGCAATTATTACATTGGTTACCTGTGCTTGGGTTCTTTTTATTATGGGTTCATTTGCTGTACTTTATTTTGTCAAACGTAATGATCGTATTCGAAATAAAATTGCTGGTATAACACAAATAAAAGGCTCATCAACAGATTATTATCAAGTAAAAAAGAATTTAATAAAAATATGAAAAAAGACATTATGTTTTTTTTTTTTTGCAAAAGGATTTATGTCGGCAAAGAATACAAGCACAACCAACACGTCGTAAATCATCAGAAGTTCATACAACTCATCAAACAATACCATTCAATAGTCGTGTTAAACGTAATAGTGAAGTTTCATCATCGCGAAGTTCAACATCATCATATATGGATGAATCTGTTACATCTATTAATGTGGATATTATGACAGGACATTTGATTTTAGTTCGTAGATTATTGTATTCTTTTATATTTTTTTTGTTTTGTTTATTAATTTATTTTTAGTCTTATATGGAAGATCATATATGCAATCGACATCGTTTAGAATCAGAATGGGAATCATTTTGTATGGATAAAATCTATGAGGAACAAGCATCATGTTTAGTTGCACTTTCGGAAACAAATGAAAAAAAGAATCGATATATGGATTGTATACCATGTAAGTTAAACTATCTTAATTGTGACCTTTTCATTAAAGTAATGATTGATGCATATGATTGTACGTCAGTTGACATTTATTTCCTCTTACTTTCACTTGTCGTCTTTTTTTTTGCTATATAAGTATGCTCTATCCGTGCCGCTGCCGTCGGGTCACATATGTTAAATATAACTATCCAAAAACGTCTCTATCATGTTTATATATAGATGTACGTAGAAGCACTTACATGAAAGAAAGAATAAGAAGAAAAGAAAGGTAAACGTTAGTTCCACTCGTCTTTCTTTTCTTAGTATCTTTAATTAGAGCTGATAATCGAAATTCGAGTAGGATACTCCTTTTGGTTTCCTTTTTCCATGCATGCATAAGAAGATTTACTGTATGCATGTGCTTCAATACTATCTCAGAATTCAAATTGAAATATCATCATCCCCATCAGGAAAAGCATCTTGCATTTTTTTTCTTCTCTTCCCATTTTACAGATGATCATACACGTATTCGACTTGCCAACGATGACGATGGTGATTACATAAATGCAAGTAAAATTGTAAGTTTTTAATAATAATATCAAAGTTTAATTTAAAAAAAAATCAAAAACAATATATATCTGTTTTATTTAATTAGACTGATTCGGCTCCAAAATGCAAATACATCGCAACACAAGGTCCAATGCCAAATACAACAAATGCATTTTGGCAAATGGTTTGGGAACAAGGATCATGTGTTATTGTGGCATTGACTCGACCTAGTATAATGAATATTTTGTTTTTCAATATGAAAAGTTATAATAATCTGTTTGCTTGTTTTTTTTTAGTTGAAAATGGTATTACGATGTGTCATCATTATTGGCCAGTAGAAGGCTCTGAAATCTACAATGATTTTGAAGTATAAGAATTTATTTAAGAAAAAAAAATTAAAATTAATTATATATATATATATTAAGGTTAATCTTGTTTCCGAACATATTTGGTCTGATGATTATGTTGTTCGAAGTTTTTATTTAAAAAATATTCAAACAATGGAAACACGTACTGTAACACAATTTCATTTTTTAACATGGGATGAGTTATGTAATCCACCATCGGCTAAATCTGTACTTGACTTTCGACGGTATGTAGGATTAAACAAAAAAATAAATATATATATTTTAAAAGAATTAAGGAATACTTGGAGTATGCTTATTCATTTGTTTGAAATTAATCAGAGACAAAAAAAAGAATAATTTATCACTTGAGATACAATTACATATGAGTATGTATGCACGTGATTAAGTTCCATTTGTAAGTCTTTATATAAGAAACAAGAAAAAAGATGGAAACAAATGAAGAAGAGAAAACTACATTTTTTTTTATCTAAAAGATTATAGCAAAAAAGAAAGAAAGAATGATGTATGTTACTTTTATATCTTTGTTTAATTAATAAACATTTACATGTACTATACAACAAAAAGAAGTCGTACTTCTCTTTAGGCAGCTTTTGAAAATTATGCAATTTGAAGGTTAATAATTGCATAGTGACAAAAGCGACCTGATGAGATTTTTATCTGTTGACAGAATTCTATATTGCCAGATGAAGAACAACTTTTTCTATTTTATTCTACTTTTTTTTTCTTTTATACATCTACAGAAAAGTGAACAAATGTTTTCGTGGTCCATCATCACCACTTATTGTTCATTGCAAGTATGTATTTATTTTATAATAAAAATTATTCATTTATTTATTGATGGCTTCTGTTTATTATTAAGTGATGGTGTTGGACGTACGGGTACATATATATTACTTGATATTGTCTTAAATCGTATTTACAAAGGAGCACGAGAAATAAATATTGCTGCTACACTTGAACATATTCGTGATCAACGACCTAAAATGGTTAAAACAAAAGTATGAAGAAACAACATATTTCTAAAGAAAAACAAAAATGATATCATTTTTATTATTTTCTATTTTATTTAGGATCAATTTGAATTTGTCTTCGTTGCTGTTTCTGAAGAAGTAACTGATTTATTAAAATTATTATCCCAATAAAACTGACAATCAGAAGAACAAACCAAAAGTTCATTCATATCAACAATAAGATTCCGATTTTTTTCTCTTAGTTTTTTGTCAAAGAAAAAAAACACATTTGTCAATGACGAATAAATAAATAAATTGAACGCATAAGGCTATATCAAGAATCTTTCACAAGGAATATTGCACGAGGAATCTAATAAACATGAATTCAAATGTATCAAGTATTTGTCATATAGACATGTCCCGAACTCGTACGTTGGATTCGATCTAAACTCCAATCGTTTTCAATCAATTAAATTAAGGAAGTAGAAAAGTAGATCAAACAGAAGATTTTTGACATTGTCTAAACTGGTTTGATAGTACTGAGTTTGGTGTGTGCCCGTTGTTATTTAAAATTATCATTTATAATTGGTTTTTTGAATACTCAGTATTTCAGAAAGAAGCCAATCGGTTTTGACTGACATTTTCAGAATATGCTCAGAATCAAGAGATTTATTTATTTATAAAAATTCAAATGAAAATTCCTACTTCTTAATTTTCTACGAATATCTTGCTCCAAGTCGAAAATCAGATAAAACGGTCATAACGCCATAACGAAAGTCTATGAAGAGAAATTCTTTCAGGATTTTTCTAGTCTCACGAAATCCTCCTTACAAGCAAAATATTATTTCGATTAAAGATCAATAGTTGGATATGTTCTCTCGTTAGAAGTAAATGAAACACTTTTATTAATGTTTGTGATGCTTACTAAAAGATACTCGATTTTCTGTTGCTGGAAAATGAAATGCTATGAAAAAACACTGTTTGCTTTTGTATTTTAAGATGATTCAAAAAGAAACAGTCATTATAATAATATTTAATAAATCGACAGCAAGTTTTTGTATTACAGGTAGGCAAGATCGATAAGTTCTTGAATTAAAAGGAAAAAAATGAATAATAGAAATTCAATTGAAATTATATGCCACAAAAAAAATCATACAGCCAATTTTTCTTCAACATGTCGAGAAAAGTACTATTTGGTTTGGCTGAAACTTTCATGATATTCTAAGGATCAAACAGATCTACTTATAGACAAAGATTCAGATAAAAATTTCTTGTTTTGATTTTTCTATGAATCTCTTACCATAAGCCGAAAATCAGATAAAATGGTCATCACTTCATAAGGGAAACGTCTGTAGGGAGAAATGCTTTTGGACTTGTTCTATACGACTCATTGAGTCTCACTGATGAACAAAACATCACTTCGATCGGTGATTACCAGTCGGATATGCTCTTTTATGAGCTTTTGGTGAGTCTAGTAAGTCATTGATGTTTTATCTTAACTTTATAGACATGTATCTGTGATTTCAACAATTAACAAAACAAACCAATTTAAGAAAATTCAAGATACCGATGGATACAACATGAACTTACTGCATAGCTTATTAACCCTTTCGTTACGGGGCCCGTATATATACGGGCTGAGCTTTCACTTGGATTACTTCTGTGACGTATATGATTTTCCTACTTTACTACAGTTCTGTAAGAGCATGATTTTTTATTCTCTATCTTATCCGATGTCTTTTTTTGTATACTTGTCCTAGCTAACCTTACAGGAATCGTACTTAGCGGCGTAAC